TGAGTTCACTCAACAATGGTAAAAAAAAAAAAATGAGTTGAATTAAAAAAAAAAATCCTATATGCATGCATATGCTCAATGCTGAGGTTTAATATATACTAGAAAAAGATGAGACAGCAAAGCAAGCATACATTGATGTATCAATACTGCATGTTTCTTGCATGGAATACTCTCATTGGACCTTTCTTCCATTTAAACATTTATGGATGTTTCATCTCCTTTCGTTTTGTCCCTTTAAGAAGTACATGAATTATTCTGTCTCTGTTGGTTACAGGAAAGTGAGACCTTCAATTAATAAGTAACAGCAGCAATTTGCATACATATTTATTCAGCTTTTAATATTTTATGTTGCACACTTTTTTTGAACCTATTTTATATACATACTTTGATGCCGAAAGAAATATAATAATTTATGGCTTACCGTTGAGCACTCGACTTTAGATCTTGTTTGTTTAGCAGCCAATTTCGATGAAAACTGTTAAATATTGTATACTTGATTAGTTACAAAAGGCCCTTGGCTATAGCGGCCGCCCAACTTGATTTCAACCCTTATAATAATCTATAGTATGTTTTTAAAAGTGTAATAAAATTTTCTCTTTGTATAAGTGCAATATGAGTATAATTTTTGTAGAAATATTGAACAAAAATTTAGGTAACTTCAACATCTAACACTTTAATTAGACTTAAAAGCAGGCATTTTAAAGTAAAAAGTAGAAGCAATTTTTAAATATATAGAACACTAATTGGTATACCATTTGATTCAATATATTATACAATATATTTATTAAAAAATTATTATTTTATAATTTGAAATTAAAAAAAGACAAATTTAGAAATACAATTATACATATAGCATGTGATAACTGATTAAATTAATTATATTTTTATTATATTTTAATAGTTAAATAAAAAAGTGTTGAAATGTGTATCGAAATTGAAAAATTTACTAACCATTATATATATATATATGAGGCAACTTCAACTTAATTTTAATTATGATAGAAAAGATTTTCAAAAATTGGATAAAAAACAAATAATGTTTGTGAGTATAAAAAAAAAGGAAAAAAAGGATTTATAAAGTTTGGACCACGCAACATAAATTATTATATAAAAATGAACTTCTTACTATTAAAAATTATCTCTCCATTTAATAGTATATATTATATAATGATGATGCAAAAAAATACAAAATAAAAAACTCAAAAAAATAATAAATTAGCTCCCGACAAAAACTAAATTAAACAAACACAAAATAATTTTTAAATATAAAAATACTAACGATGTATTAGTCCGAATGAAAGAAATTCGTTTTTCCTTAAATAAGATTTTGAGTTTGAGTTTTATAAATGAAAAAACAGATATTAAAAGAATTTTTCCTGAATGAAATCCGATATGATTCGATTTTGAATTAATTAAGATCCAATAT